CCTGTAAGGTGTCACCGTTTGTTCCTCCTCACTGCCATGGCCACCTCTGCAAAACAGAGCTTCCAAAAGCAGTGAGTGCTGAGCTGTCAGGTCTCAGCACTTTCATGCCAGTCCCCATGATGGGAAGGCAGAATGGCAGCCGTGCCCGCAGACATTGTGACAGCCTGGGGGCTGCGGGGAGCAGCTGGACAGCTCGATTCTCTTGCCCAAAGCAGGGCTTGTGCCAGTAACAACACACAGCCCTGGGAAACAGCAGACAGTGGCCTGTCATCCAACAGAGCCCACGCATGTTTGTGGGCCTGGGGAGAGAGGCCTGGGAGCATCTTGCTCTCAGACTACATGTCTAGGGAATTAGTGCAGACTCTTGATGTATTATGTGCATGTTACTTTTAAGATGTATCTGGGGAGAGGGGACAAGACTATTACCTGGGTCATACAACAATAGGAAGTATTTCATCATGCCATTAACAAATACAAAGCCCATGACATCAGAGTGTTGGGCTGGGATCTGGACAGATCTGGGCTCACTGGGGACAGGGGATTTGCATTAGAACAGGGAAGGGTTTTCATAGTTCAGTGCAAATCAAACAAAATTCAGCTCCCTGAGCTGCATCCAAGCAGCTCATTTTTGTTTCAGAGCAAAGGCATTCTGAGGAGCTTTCCTACCAAAAGGATCCTTCCGGAAGCACCATAAGCCTTTGCTGAGAGATCCTGCGTGTGGAGCAGCTGTGGACTGCTCAAACCCCCATGAGACATGTGGGAGGCTGCGCTGCTGAAATCCCTTCACATTTTTGCCCTCTTCGCAGTACCTGCCAGGGTGCAGCTCGGTGCCAACATCCTGCAGCCCAGTCTTGCTCTGTCCCCAGGCAGAGGGCATTGCTGACACACCCCAGCCCAGGCACTGAGGCTGTTTTCCCCTCTTTTCACTGCCAGACCTGTGTTTGATGCAAAGGGCTGTTGTGTCCTATCCCTGCCTTCCCAGGAACCCTGTGAAAGGCAAGAAAACTACGTTTTCCAGCAAGACTAATACTGTCATTAGTCAATTTGCTAATATGCTGAGGTGTGAATGGCTTATGGTGAGGCTGGAGGAGCAGCTGTCCCACAGGCACAGCCCTCGTTCCTGCAATGGAGGAGTTGTCTGTCCGAAGGGGCTGTCACCTCCCCAGCTGCCCAGCTCCTGATGGATGAGCTCTCAAGAAGTGGTGAACAGGCTCTGGATTCTTGGGGAGGGAATGTTTTTGTGAATGGATCATGACACAACTGTGGCCTGATTACAGAGCTGAGCAGCTTCTTCCACCCCCCCGCCAAAAGCCATGTGTTAGCTATGCCTGGAAGCTGCGTCTGTCACACTGCTTAGCTGTGACAGTACAGTCTGGGACACCCCACCAGTTTTCCCAGGGGAGCCTGAGCAGACGAGAGCACACAAGAAAAACACACAATGGCAGAGTGCGAGGCACTGCCTCCCAGGAGAGGCGATGGCACAGGAGCAGGGAAGGACAGGCTACAGGGAGCTTGGCTGCTTGAAGATGCTAGCACAGGCCTTTGGCAAGGGAGGTACAGCTTCCCTTCCCAGGGCTGCTAATTCACCATCATCTGCCCTGCTTCAGAGATGGAGGCGTTCTGACTTGCACCAGGGGCAAACCAGACAAAGAAAGTAACAGACGGGGAGGAGAGGAAACCCTGCCCTGCGCAGCCTGGACCCATCCTCCACTTCCCTCTGCTCAACAGTGAGAAAAATTCATCCTCTCCTCCATCCTCAGTGCACTCTGGTGTGAGCCCAGCCCCAGCTGCCTCAAGGTAGCAACAAGGTCTACATCCATACACACATGCAACATGACAGCATCCTCCCTCCCACTCCCTTTTTTTTTTTTAAAGTAGCAAAGCCAGTAAAATCCCAAGCTCATGTTCATGTGCTGACCTTTTTGCAAGTGATTTTATTTTAAAAGTGGAACTAGAGTTCTCTGTTTGTTTCAGAAGTCCCTTTTTTTTAAATAAAATTAATTTATTCTACAGAACAGAAAACTCTTCCAGACTCTTCCCTATTTACAAATTAACATTTTTGCTTGCAGATCATTGCTTCCCTCTCCTTTTCCTATCCCGTGATGCAGAACGTGAAAAAATCGGCCAACAGTTGAAGGTTTGTAAGGCAGTGCTCCCATCCACAACCACCTGGCCTGCTGGGACCTCAGTGAAGAGCAAGAGTGACAATGTCTCTGCCACATCCAGAGGTCTTCCTCATTCACCATGTGTTTGAAGGAAGCAGGTCCATGTTAAACCCATCAACCAAAATCATCTGCCCTCTCCATGCTGCATGGGCTCCTCCAAGCCAGGTTTTAGCTGTGCTAAGGAAGTAAAAATACCCCTGCCAGAGCAAACTGCTCCCGCTGTCCTCTGAAGGGCCATGCATTTGCAGAGAAGGTGGCATTTGCATGAGATCTGCCAGCCCTCAGCTCACGCACCCATGGGCCAGAAAGGCAGCTCTCACATCACAGGAGGACACAAGGGGCCTTAGAGACACCTTCCCTGTCCTCTTACAGTAGGAGAGACAAGCAACTCCAGCGCTGGGGACATGCTTTGCTAGCTCAGGAAAGAAGGCACCTAAAAAACCAAATCTGACCCAACCCAAAATAGTAGGCAAATTCATGGGATTTTGAGCTAGGCTGTGGCTTGGCTCGTACCTCTCTGCACTAAGTGGTAACTTTAGCTTGCTGTGGTGGCGTCTGCCCTACCTGGAGACCTATCCAGACACTTGCAAGCCACCTTGCCCAGGTCCTGCTAGCGCTGTCACCCAGGCCTGGCAGCCACATGAGGAGACAGGATGGGTGGGGAAGCCAAGCTGTGAGGCAAACCAAGAGGGACGTGCAAGCACTTTGTCTGCAAGCAAAGCTATTCTTTCAGAGGGTCTCCCACCCCACATGAGGCACAATCCCAGTAAGCAGCCTGGCCTGTAAAATCACCCTAAGGGCTTCAGTGACCTGCAGGAAAACCATCGACACCACAGCACATACCTGGCAACAGCAGGTTTCTTCTGCTCTACCAGGGCTCACCTCTCTCCGGTGACCTCTGTATGTGGGTGCACTGGTCAATCAGGAAGCCACCAAAAAGCGGTGACCACTGCAGTGCCTGGTCCTTCCCGGCAGCAGTGCTGCTAACAACCATCGCTGGCAGGGTTTTACAGCCGCCAAGGAGGGCCTTCAGCTGTGGCGGCTGGCTGTACACCCACCAGGCAGCAGCCCCATGCCTTTTGCTCTTCCTGGGCATTTCTATTTCTCTAAGGGAAAAAAACCAAAAAAACCTTCAATAGCATCTACTGAAGGTGTGTAGTGTTTCCACTCCTGGGAGCCCAGCCAAACACCTGCAGGGTGAGGCTGTCGCTCACCTCTGGACACAGCCCCTGGCCTGTGTCTAACCCCCGCAGACATCCTGAATGACTAACAACTGATGCAAAGTGGAGGTGCTGTTGTATTTTTCAAGGTTTGCCTTGAGCAGTGGAAAATATTGCCTAGCTGCAGTAGAGAAAAGGCAGAATGAGCTGATGCCCTTGAGAGCTTAGGTTTTGAAAAAGCAAGGAAGAAGGAGGTTGTCCTCTCTGTAGGTACAGCAAGGAGAGAAAGGACAAAGGACTAGAAATGGCAGGATAACAGGAAAAACCTTCCTCAAATGCAATCCATTAAGCTTTGGAAAAAACCTTCTCCCGGCAGAGGGTGGGAAATGCATGCCCCAGAGGGAGCCTGAAAGCCAGCCTGGATAAATCCTCACACCTCTGTGGCGGTGCCCTCTGTGGCGCGTGGATCTGCATGTGCGACAAAAGCCTCCGCATGGGGATCTGCCATATCCATGTCATCCCAAAATGCCAGAGCCCCCGGTGGCTGGTCTGTGGGGCAATGGTGCCAGAAGGGATGTTGGGTTCTCACCCTAGAGGGCACGTGCCAAGGTGCTTTGGCTGGAGGATGGAGGCTGTCACAGCTTTGGGCACCATCCCATGATGGGAATCCCTGGGGAAGATGCAAGAGGCCAGCTCAGCCCTAGGAGAGCTCTTGGTCCAG